ATACTAAGGGCTATTGTCATGAGCTATATTGAACAATAAAGCTCTAAGTGTCTATCGAGGCACACAGGGCTGTTTTCACCCACACTAAATGACCCCAGGCTGCTGTGATTTGAGTGTTAGGGTCATTTTTAGTTTTTCTTTCTCCCAGCTGATTCTGACTACTGTCAACATTCCTTCCTCTAGCTAACTTAAACGTCTTTTAAATTGGTGCTTTTAGTGCGGTAGATTAAAATGCCAGTCCCATGGTCCCAATACAGTCTATTTAAAACAAAGGGAAACTGGCTCTTTGACAACTTGAGGAATCCTCTTAAAATTGATGAGTTTTAGAGGTTAGACTTTATTTAACAACTACTTGACCACTCAAGATTTTTACACATTCTCAGTTCCATATAACTTAATAAAGAACAACAAGGCATTATTGAAGTCACTATATAGGAGGTATTGCTAAATACACGTCTGAAACTTTTTCAGAATTGCTTTTATCCATTCATTCAAAGTATTTTTGAGCATCTAGTGTGCACCAGAGAATGTTCTAGGTGCTAGGGATACAGCAATGAACAATACAGACAATGGCCAAACTCCCTCAGAATTTACATTCTAGTTGGGGAGAGAGGGAACAGGCAAAGATAAAGCGGTACTATAAAGAGAAAAGAAAATACTGTAATAGAGTGATTAGGATGGGGTGCAGCATTAGACAGGATGGTGTATCTGTAGGGTCTGTTCAGAAAAGGAAAACCACTAGGATCTCTCTCTCTCTCACACACACACACACACACACACACACACACACACACCCCATTTTTAATATATATAATAAGGACACACACACACACACACTCCATTTTTAATATATATAATAAGGCATTTATTATAGGGATTCTAGGGGGCTATTCCTTTTGTGTCTGGCAAGTGAGAGGGAAGATGAATGTGAAGTGGGGAAAGCAAAGATGCATTGGGACCTGCCAGGATGAGCAAAACCCATGGGAATTGGGTGGAACTCATGAGAATGGACTGCAAGTCTCCAACCTTGATAGTGGGGTTGTTCTGCACAACCCAGCACCCTTTGTCATAGAGTAATACACACATCTGGCCCAGAAGTCAGGGAAGCTGAAGGAGGTGACCCAGTAGGAGCTGGTGTTCTGTGGACCTGGCTGCTGGCCCACACACCAAGAAGATGAATCAGAAGATAAGCAATAACCTGGGTGAGCAGCAACAGTGCGTGCCTTGCTTGGACCTTTCAATTTTAAAAACAATCTGGATCTGGCTACTTTACTTCAGCCCACTAAATCTTACTCCAGACATCTCTTTGACCCATGCTATTCTGGAATTATGCAGAGGTAATTCTGAGAAACGTATCTCCAGCTTAGCTACATTGGCCTCATATAAATCCACCACCGATGGTCAGAGGTCTCCGAAAGGTATCTGAGCGGACAACTTGAAGGATGAGGATTCAACCATACAACTACATCAAGATTTGGAAGAGAATATTCCGGGCAGAAGAAATAGCTAGTGCAAAGGCTCTGAGGCAGTGATATAAATGAGGTATTTTTGGATGATGAGACTGGGGCATAGTGAGAGGGACAGTGGTATGAAATGAGATCAGAGATAGAAGGAGGGACCAGATCACGTGGGGCCTTGTAGAACATGGTAGTGAGCATGAGTCACTTTTTTCTAAGTGCAACGAGAAGCAAATGGAGAGTTTTTAATAAGACAGCAGTAGTTTAATCTGATTTACATTTCTAAACTATTTTAAAATAATTTCAAATATAAAAGGCATCAGGTTAGCACAAAGAACTCCATCATCCGGGTGATTTCCCTTTGCTTTGTGGAGACTGGGCTGTAGCGGGCAGGACCACCCCTTCCACAATCCCAAGCTTCTTGCTCTTCTATGTAACTGTCACTCCTAGAGCACAATGTGCATGATGCCCTTGGAGTTGTGCAGAGAAGTCACCCAAGTGTGGAAGCAGCAATATTACAGAACTACTGCACAAGTTCAGTTTTCAGATCTTATTGGAAAACCAATCTCATTATTTTAGTCTCAATTCATAAATACATGTTGGAACAAAAATTGGTATTACCTCTTCAGATCTAGTCTCAAATTTATTGGCTATATCAAACCACTTCTCAAAAACAAAGAACCTTAAAGATTTGACACCACTGAAGCTATTTAAAGTGAACGTGTCACAAATAATTCCAGATTTCCAAAGAATTTCCAGAGAATATGCCTAACTGCCTAAAGGAAACATGGTGAAGGGGCCAATGTTTATGCTGATGTATAGATTCTAGTCTCCTTATGTTAGAATTGATCTTAGACTTGTATATCTCCCATTTTCATCAGACATGGCTTATTTTACTTGAGATCATGAAAATTTTTCCTAAAGCAAGTTCTTCTGCCTGTATTATCTCTCCCTGCTAGCAATACTGTCTGGCTGAAAGCCAAGTGTTCAAATATTGAGGGTACAGATATTCAAGCTCATTTCTGATTTTCAGCACAATTCCAGGTTTAATGTTAAAGATCAACAGCTAAAATTAACTATGGATAGCCATTCGTTCTCACTAAAATTTAACACAACATCTAATAGGTGCTAATTAAATCATGAGGGTAAAGTAGAAAAGTGAAGGAAAGTCAGGTGACTATGGGGAATCATTTATCCTCTCTCTTATACTCAGTTAAAGGGGAGTGTGGTTACAGCACTAGAGCTTAGAGATGAGTGTGAAGGGCTTGATGCACAGTAAGTACTCAATTAAATAGGGGCTAATATTATTATACATGTCAATAAAAATAAAACACCACTATATATATACCTTCCCTTTTAAAAGAAGAAACAAGATGCTTCTGGAAAAAAAAAAAAAAGCTCTCGAGAGACCACTCACCTTAAGAAAAAATGTAAAAATATCAATATATTTTTTAAAAAAGCATTATCTGACAGAGAAAGAAAAGTAGAAAACTTTTGATCTTTAATTACTGCTTGCAGTATACACTTATCTTTCTGTAATCTGTGGTGACAAATCTCCATGTAAACATTCAGAAAGAGAAAAAGAGGGGACACTGTGTCATGACTTATGAACTATGAATTTTGAGCTCGGATTACTAACCTTTATTCACAACTGCCTTATATATTTATTAACTGTTTTTCTTCATTTAACAGTGGCTCTTAAATAACAAAATAAATTATCAGCAAGTTCAACCATAACTTAAAAAATAGAGTAAAAAAAACCCTGTTCAAGCCTCATAAATGCAAAGCACAGCAGTATATTTCATATATGTTGATTACAGTTTCCATGTTCTTTGTGTAAATAACACAAAGATTATTCTCTTCCCACTGTTGCAAGTTCACAAAATTTATGAAAAGGCTTCACTCTTCTTCCCCAGCTCAGTTAACTGTACTTCAGTTGAACACAACAGACAGTAACTGGGGTTATCAGTGAGATGTGGTAAAAGCAAAGGTCATGACCACTCAGAACAACACGTAAACCTAAGATATACCTCAGATTTTCTAGTCTCAACCTAGCTCTCATTTATTAAATAATTTACGAAGAACTGTTGAGGATTTAATGAGCAGGCTGAACTCTGTCATTCTGCCATTTTGCTAGTCATGAACACACGTATTTTCCCTTTAAAATGAAGCAGAATACTATTCATTTCCAATGAGACTAGATGTAAGGGAAAAACAAAGACAAAATCATAGAGATTTTTAAGTTGTGCTATGTTGCTTTAACTGTTTAATTTTAAAAAGGTTAATTACCACATCAGTGCACCATCTCTTGCTTAAAAACATAATACCTTTGCAAGTAGATAAAAAAATATCTTTAAAATAAGCCAGAGGTAAAAATGTAAAGGCCTGAATGACTTGAAAAACAGAATAATTTCTGATCAGTGACTATTAATGGGCATAGTCATTTTATACAGCAAGTAACAACAACAATTTAGCAATTTTTTAAACAGGCACTTGATAGAGTGTATACTCAATACTGGGGCATCATACGCAAAAATATGGCTTTATTACAAAGGATTCAAGATGGCAACTACTTAGAATCCAGTGCCAACACGGATTATAACAAATCCAGTGAGTATTTTGTTTTTCAATTATTCATAGAAAATTTAATCCTGATTAAGTATCCTCGGGCAGGAATTCATGGGTAGTTGATGACTGAAACCAGCATTTATGTGAAATGCTTCTGTTAATTTAATCTGTGTATACAGCTTAATTATGATTGGGGATTCAGTGTAAGAGAAATGAATTATATCAGGATTAAAACTTTAGTACCATATCACAGAGTACTTTCTCCTCCTTTCTTTTTCAACATGTAAACCAGCTTGTCCCTTCACCTAAGTGCTCAGATTTTAAAACCCTTTGTAAAACCAATGCAACGTATCTAAGTTTTTCATAAACTGTCAAAAACGCTTTGCTACTCAAGCTAAAACCTAACTAGAGCTAAAATAAAGGAAAATGGAGAATAACCCCACCCACAAATAAACAAAAGCTTATTCACTTAACTATGAATATATTTTATATTGATTTTCTGAAGTAACTTCATTTTCAATTTCTTTAAACTCCAACACAAAATGCATTTTCCTTAAAGCATAAAAAGAAGCAGTTTTTAACCAGTGTATTACACTGATGTCATAACTGGACTTGGTTTAGACATGTATAAGCAAGTAATCATTTAACTGACTACTTTTTATAAGACTATCAAACCTGAGTTAATTATTGATATAAGATGAGGCATTATAAGTGGTGAATCTCTTACCAAAATATCATATAATTCTTTTCATCTTTATTTCCATATGGAAATTACATAAATGACCTTATAACAACACTCTTTTTTGAAAGTTTATTAAGTATATTTCAAAACATTTATTACCTTTTTTTCAGTTTGGTACTGCTTAAATGCAGTTGTATAAATAACACGCTCTGCTTTCTCTGTTCAATTTTTCATACCAAAAGTATGAAAAATAAAGTCACTGTATTTGGATCCTTATTGCACTCTGGTAAATAAATTTACTTTTCCTCTAAAGAAAATCAAGTATCAGAAGTGAGGCCGACTTTTGTGTCCAGATGATATGGTCAGTGGCAGTGTTACTGAGGAAAGTGAAGAAACTTCCCAGTATAGACTGTGGGATAGAAAGAGTCTGTAGAGAATCACCATGGAAACAGACTGGCAAAGGATAACGCCTACTGTAACGACCTGAAAAGAAAAGAAAGAGAATGCTTTACTGCATGCAAAAACAGAAATTATATTCATTTTATCATGGACCTATAAATACTTTATACATATATAAACTTATATATATGTTATATAAATATATATAAATAAAAAACTGTATCTGTCCCATCTTTACTGTGGGTACATTTTGTAAAAGCAATTTTCAATAGGAAAATGAGACTAATGTTCAACTATAATTGTTCAAAAGTAAAATTCCTTTAACAGTTAGTTTATAGATGTCAAAATAAGACACAAAAGAATAATTTGCTAAACCATCTTCTCAGGGTGCATGCACTAAAGAAAGTAATAGGAAAAATCAGACTCCTGGCTAATCTAGTAATAGGAATAAAGCATGCCCCTACCTGAATCCTGAAGAGTGCTCTGAAAGCCCTTTCCGAAATTCTCAAGTCACTTCTCTATTTTTGTAGACTACCTTCCTATCTATTTACCCTTTGTAAATACCTCAGGTTCAAGAAACATTTGTGTGTTCAACCGCACACTGCATTGCTTGTAAAGGGCTCCTGGCAGAACTCCACTTCGAAATGATGGAGTAACTCACCTAAGAAGGTAGTAGATATCAATACAACCAAAATGTGGCATACTTGAGCATGGCATTCCAGTCTGCAGGCTGTTAAAGCAACTAGACTGACTTTTAGAAAGCTGTCTTGATTTTTAACATTATGTAGCAAAAAATTTTAATCATTTTTTCTTAACTACAAAGATGTGTTATAAATTTTATAATTTAATTTATAAAACAGTATTATGAAATTGACTAAAATAAGAATAGCAAAAGCTATTTTCCATCATTCTGCTTATAAACTAAATTTAAATACTCACTGGTTCAATATTTTGTTTCAAAGTTTTATTTTAAAGAATCTAAGAAACCGCTGAATGGATAAACAGGCCTTTCCTACTTTAATAATTTCCCAATAAAGACTACAAAAAACTATTTTGATCATGTATATTATTTACCTTATCTCTTTGGTAGTCATTAAAAATGACAGAAATGCATGCAAGACCTGGATGGCACAAAAACCACAAGATACAGCCCTGAAACAAATGAAAAATAAGTCAAATAAGCGCAGCTATGCTTTGTTTTCAGAATGTACCAGATAAATAACATTACTAGCATATTTAGGAGGTCTTGATTGATCTCAATTGGCCTGTACAGTAGAACTTGCAATAAAATGTAGAAATATATTTGCTATTGTTGTGACAACGATATTCTGTTTCTAATCAAATGGGTGTTTTTGGAGTATTTAAAATCTTATATCTTCCTCATACATATATTTTGAGGTTTTGATATATAAGTAACAAATCAATAATTGAGAAAAGCAAGGTACAAATGTGTAACATTTCTATAAAAAACAAATAAGAATATACATTCATATTTGCATATAGATACACAAAGAAATTCTGTAAGAATACACAAAAAACTGATTAGCAGCGGTTACCTGTTTGAGATTTAGTACAAAAGACACAGAATTAGGTGAGTAGGAATGGGAAACTTTTTAACACTATACTTTTCAAATATATATCTTCTATTTTTCCTAGAACATGGAAACTTATCCTTTTCCAAAATTAAATTTGAAATAAAATAATAAGTTAATACTAGTAGCTGTTGAAATGCTTGGTATATTGAGGTTATAAGAAAAAAAAACCAAGATATAGAAAAATGTGTTGAAAATGCTACTATTTGTATAAAAGTGAAGGGAAATATAAAGTAATATATATATATTTTTTGAATTTTTGAATTTTATTTATTTTTTTATACAGCAGGTTCTTATTAGTTATCCATTTTATACATATTAGTGTATATAGTAATATATATTTTAAATTCTCTAAAAAATAAATTAGGAATTAATAGCAGTGATTATATGAGGAGGTGATAACTGCATAGATGGGAGAGAAGTAAGAAACACGTTTGCTGCTTTTTAAATACTTTTGGATGTTAGAACCTATTCAAATAGTTATATTAAAACATATAAAAATTAAAGTTTAAGAAACAATTTTTGTACTGTTTTAAACATAGAAGAAAAGAAGAAATTTAATTTTTAAATACCTGAAGTATACACTAACTTTTGAAACAATAAGCACTACTGTCTCTGGGAAGAATTCCAAAGTGAAATGGCATATCCTTGCCTGTTTGGTACTCAGAGGCCTGACATGGGTTCCTAGGGCTGCAGCAGCAGCTTTAAAATGCTCCACATCTGGAATACAGAAGGAATTTGGCCCTCCTCCGTCTCAGCCTCGTTCTGCTGAGACTGTCAACTAGGGTGGGCTGACCAAACAGCTTATCAGAATGATGCTTTGAGTTGCCAAGATGATGGGTTACGGACTCTCTCAATCTGACCAAAACAATATAACTTTCTAGGAAGGGAGGCTTCTGTAACGTTACTGACTCAACCTGTCTCCTGATCTTTTCCTTTATTAAATGGGTACAGAAAAAAAATCCATTTGCCTTTAGATCTCACTAGCATAAGAAGGACACAACAAGGGGGAATGAAGTAAACATGATCTCATATGGATGCCATGAAATGGCTGAAACATAGTATGTACTCAGCCTCCTGGCTCCCTTTGCTTATGCTGAAGGACGGCTCTTCATAGTTTGTTATAAAACATTGCATAATTCTGGGAGTAACAGTTCATAGTCCATTAACGACTGTTTTTTAGGACATGCAAACTGCATCCTAATTTTTTTATTTAAAAAATTCTGATACTACAGAAAAAATGTAAAATCCCTATTGATAAAGAAATTATAATAGAGGCAAAACTGACCTGCCAAAGATTACATGGAAACTACTGTTTCATGAGTTCTGCAAAATGGGGATAATATCATCTATATCTCATAAGTTGTGAAGAGTAAATGATTTGAATCACATAAAGTACCTGGCACGTAATAAAAGCTTACTAAATATTAGCATATGGTTGCTCCTTAACTTCCCAAGTAAAGCAAAATGAAGTTGATAATGTGAAGAAGTCATTTTCTAACCAAACCCATACTTTGGCAAAAGTGATATAGAACTCCCTTTTGAGTGTACTTCTTTCCACTGTGATGATCTGGTAGAGTCCGCAGCCTAATGACAACGCTAGGCAAATTCTTAAAACAATTAGAAGGATCCCTGCTAAGTTGTGGTGTGAATGGTGGCTGTGAGGACTGGTATCTTCAAACTGTTCCCAAAGTAGCAAAATACTCTGTAAAAAACAATATTTAGAGAAAAAAGTCATGTCTACTTACAATAAAGTACTTTTTTCCAACTCTTTTCTATATCCCCTTAACCAGTATATAAACATTCCTAAGAGGCTCTAAGATTTATCAGACTATATAAGGTGTTGATTAATAAGCACAAGCAATTTTTCCTTCACTGATACCCTCAGCTGGAGAAAAGGGATTGTAATCAAATGAGACCACATACAAGAGATAAAAAATGCTACTGTTACCATGATTCAAGTAAGACATCTCTAATGATGAAAATAAGTCGAAAAGATGAAGAGAATAAACATAAAACTTTCTGCTAAATCTCTTTCTTACTTCAACACCTTATTAGGAATCAAACCGTTCTGCATTCAAGCCCATTATCTCAGGATAAGCTTTCAAATATCTCAGTATCTTCTGTAATCCAGAAATTAACAAGTCAGAATTGCTGATTTCAGACCTCATTCTTGTCCCACGGTAACCTCCCTGGGTAAAGGAGAGTAGATTTTCAATATCCAACATAGCATCCAGGGCACAGTTACTTATCCTTATTCGTTTGTTCACCTTTTTTACCATATTGTTACGATCCCAGTGTAAAGCTCGCAAGTTCTTCATTAAGCTGTTCTGTTTACTGCTATTCAGTAGAAATCAGTGCCCACATTCCCTCCACCTTTACCAAACAATCACTTAAATGACGATAATTTTCACCATCACACATGTCAGTAGCCCTCTGTGCTCCCTTCATTTGCCAACTCAGCCTTCAGAATTGGGTCTTCAGTGGCTTCCAAAGAATTTAGGTCAAAACTCCATTATTAAATCCAATTTTAGGCTTTATGGGGTTTACCAGCAACCACTTCCTTTCCTCATTCTCAAATCTTCCACCCTAATTTTACTCCAGCTACCATTCTTGCTAGGTGAACTCTTTTCTCATCTTGCACACATAAATTTCCTTCTTGAAACAAAAATTAGATCTTTATTACAGAAATTCATTCCTCTACGCCAAATTATACCCGTCTGATTCCTTAACTTGCATTTCTAAACTTAACTCTTTACAACAAAGAAGTGCTACTATAGAACTATCATTTCCTGCTATGCGAGGTAATGGATATGTTAACTGGCTTGATTGTGGTGAACATTTCATAATGTATAAATATATCAAAACATCAAGTTGTATACCTTAAATCTGTACAATTTCTATTTTTCAATTATAACCCAATAAAGCAAAAAAAAAACTACTATTTCCCATGATTCACATTTTTACATATTCATACTCCCATATTTTCACATACGTATGCTAATGCATGACCTGTGGAATACACTGTACACATTTACGTGATCTCTTGTTGCCTGTCTCATCCACCTAGTCTGGCTGCTGATGAGAGTCAGGGCCGTGTCTAATACATTCTTCACAAATGCTCACATAAACTCTAGGGTAGAGTTATAATCTCAGTTTGTATTTGTTTATGATAATGAATTTAAATTACAATGAAATAATGAAAATTCAATTTTTAAAAGTTATTGAGAAATGAGAATTTAACTTGATATTAACACTACTCTCCATAAATCATGGATCAAAAACATTAAGTTGGCAGAACTTACCCATATTTTAATCACCTCTAATTCAGTTCTTTCTCACTAGCCCTCCCTTCTTGGCATTATCTCCTTTTTAAATATCAATACATGTGATATGGTCTCTTTCTAAATCAATCATGTAAATTCAATAAACCTTCACTCAGCACCTAAGGTACTAAAATAAGTACTAGAGGTAGATGGGCACAGGCCTTACCCTTCACTAGTGAGTTTTTCAATTTATTTAATGCATTAAAACTTAGATTATGATGTCCTTTACAGAGCCCAGATGTATATTTCATTTTCATCTATAGCTGATTGTCACAAACTCAATACAAATTTTTATGTTTATATCTTTCTTCTTAATTTTTATAAATCCATTGTACATAGGCATATGGAGATCCTAGAATAATGACTATATGTCACTATAGAGAAAAACCAAAAAAAGGCATACAGGACTCTTCTAAAAGACCAAGTTTGTTTTTGCATTTGTTTTCAAAAACAAGATCCTATTCTTTTTTATTCTACGTTTTGTTTTTTCTTTAATCTGATATTCACTTGAATTCTTTCATGTATAAAGTAGATTCTGGCCAATGAATGAATCTCAAATTCATTAACTGACTCATTTAATATTGAGTACTTACTAAGTGTTAGAAAATATGAAAGAAAGCTCTTAATTAGGAAATGAGAATCTAACTGAATATTAAATATACTGCACTGAAATAATCTGATAGGAAGCTCAGATTCAGGTAAATTACAATGAAATTCTACAATATACATATACCAGCACTCAGAAAATTAACAGGTTATTTATCTATCACTCTTTTTTCCCATTTTTAAAAAATTGAAGTATAGGTGATTTACAATGTTGTGTTAGTTTCTGATGTACAATGAAGTAATTCAGTTACACATATATATACATATTCTTTTTCAGATTCTTTTCCATTATGGTTTATTACAGGATATTGAATATAGTTCCCAGTGCTATACAGTAGGACCCTGTTTATCTATTTTATATATAGTAGTGTGCATCTGCTAATCCCAAACTCCTAATTTATCCCTCCCTCTCCCTCTTTCCCCTTTGGTAACCATAAATTTGTTTTCTATGTCTGAGAGTCTGTTTCTGTTCTGTAGATAAATTCATTTGTGTCATATTTTAGATTCTACATATAACTGATATCATATGGTATTTGTCTTTCTCTTTCTCACTTACTTCATATATGAACTATCACTCTTTAAATTCATAGTTTAAAATGACATAAATTCCTCATAGGTCCCAGGTTTCTTGACATGAGATATGTTCAAATTTGCATTTCTCAATATTGCAAAGCAGAAACATTTAGTATCACTACTAACCTGTGTTATGACGATGAACACAGCAATGCCAGTGGACGCAGGAGTAGAATCCCACTGGAGAGGTCTGCTCTGAGACTTCTTCATTCTGACTATTGTCCAACCCATGCATAAACTCAGAAGTAAGTATAACATTTGAATTTGGGAAGCGATGTCAAAAACTAATGGGAAATGAAAAGCAAAGTCAACTGAGTTTTCACAATACAAAGAATTTTATCCTTTTTTTTTTTTTTTTTTTTTTTTGGTCACACTGCATAGCTTGTGGGATCTTAGTTCCCCAACCAGGGATTGAACCTGCATCCTAAGCAGGAAAAGCATGGAGTCCTAACCACTGAACCACCATGGAATTCCCAAATTTTATCCTTTTTGCATTGAGAATATAATTATTTTATTAACCACAAAAGACAGACATTTTAAAAAAGAAACTGATAAAATTCAATAAGAGATATTCATGTATAATAATTCTAAAGAATTAAAATGTTGCCATTAAATTTGTAAACATTCTGAAAATAGTTAAAACAATGGCAGTACTCCTATTTCTAAAAATATGTATGTGTCCATATCATATCTTTATTAAGGCCAACTTTAAATCTCTTTGTGTTTCTTATTCTTCTTAGTTTTTCTAATTACAATCTATAACTCACTGCTTATGAAAAGAAACAAATTTTAAATATAACTTCTGCAATGTGGAGAATACTTCTGGGTTGTTCATTTTTTTTTGGTGGCTGACCTATAATATGAAGAGTATTTTCTAAACCTATTAAAAAGAAATAGCAGGACAATAAAACGCAGAGCTGCTGTGACATCCAATTATGTTGGCCCTAGTGTCAAGAGTCCTGAAGACGAATGAAGCGCTCCATGCATTAGTGTGATGTGCCACCAGGTGGCCATCACTTACACTGCAGGGGAAGCTGGCTGCGGTAGAAAAGACGCAACGAAACCGCCTGCACCCAGTTCAGTGCTACAAGAAAATAACAAGCAATAATACTTCAACTGCCATGTGTATTCATTTTAGAAGTTCTATTTATTGATTTTTTAAAAAATTATTACCTTTTCATCAGAGTGTATTTTGATGTGAATTTTGGAATAAACGTGATCACAGTTCAACAAAATAAAACTTTCTTCAAATTGCCATTTATAACTTTGATGTCTACGACTTTTATTTCTTTTATATAAAGATATTCTTAGAGAAACAGATAAAACTAGCTATAGTATCAAACTTATATTAAAAGTTACAAGCCAAAAACTTATTAATAATAGACCTTTTCAGCTTTATTTTGCCATATTTTTCTCCAGCTCTGCCACCCAAGTTAAAACCGGATACTTTACATTTATGCTTATACACTTGTAATAGCGAATTCTAATACTGAACTGTCACTACACTTTAATGATAAAAAGTGTCATGGCCTTTCAGAACAAGCACAATTTTCTTACACCATAGATTTAAAATGACTGTGATGCTAATTATTTTTATTAAACATTTCACAAATACATATTCAGTTATTTAAAGAAGATACCCAAAGGAATATCCCTACATAAGTTGCTAATTAGCAAAAACAAATACTGGGGAGGAGGGAACGTTGATTTTCTGGCTCATTTCTTTACATACTAAGTAATGCACATATTGATATAATACCATAACTGTGAGGGCAGGTAGACACTGCTTATCTGTTCTTGAAAAATAACTAATGTAGATAAAATACACAGATGACACAAAAACCCCATTCTGTGGAATTTGATTAAAAATCTTCATTAACCAAACCTGTTGTCAGAACTACCAAAAATGATCAACACTGATTTATTGTAGTTTTTTTTAAAAGACTTTTGCTTTTAACTTACCATGAAGATGCCAGATAGCCTAAAACACTGTTTTGTATACAGTAGACACTCACAAAACTTCAAAAGTCCTTGATTTTAGTAACAGCTTTGCTACTGATGGGCCTCTGTGTGCTTTGCCTCTTTGGACCACAATTTCTTCATCTAAAATGCATAAGCTAAATTATTTCTATGCTCTGTCCAGCTTTAAAACTCTAGGATTCTCTTAAACATCCTGAGTCATCTAAGAGAAAACAGGGGTTGCAACCAGGGTTCTAGTAATGTCAAAAAAGGAGAAGCAACTCTTGTTCATGCCCAAGAGGTAAACAGTATCCATCCTCTTCACAAGGAAAAGGAAAGGTTCTAGAAGTTTTAGAATCTTAAAATAGGCAGCAAGATCAGGATAAGTGGGTCCTGAGATGATTACAGAGATTACCATAAGATACCTTATTAAAGAGTGAGGAGACTAGAAGAGAAATATGGAAATATAAGGAAAGTAAATCCTAGAATGTCTTCGTATTCGGAATCTGCTTTTTTAGAGCAAATCTTAACTTGTTTTTCAGGATTGAAAATGGCATATGGCCTGATGTCCCTCTAAAGTTCCCTTTATAAAGTCATGATTATAGGAACTTTTAGGTTTTCACCGTCATATTTAATTGAAAGACTACTTCACAAAAGTTCCTCTTATAAATTAAAGAACAAAGCTGAGAAGTCAGCTCAGTTATAGGTATACTCTATGGCTCTAGGTTAGAAATAGAGACAAAAGAGTCACAAAAGGGATGAAAAAGGGGAAAAAAAACTTTAGCTTTGTGGTCAGAATATTTGGGTCTAAATCTTGGCTCTACCATTCACTAGCTGACTGACATCTGGGAATGTACTTCCTGTCACTGAGCCCAGATTCTTTATCTGCAAAACAGGGATAAGCATATCTACTTCACTGAGTTTTTATTGAGGATAAAAATGAGAGAATGTGGGAATCTCCTGGTGGTCCAGTGATTAAGACTTGGCCTTCCAATGCAGGGGGTGCAGGTTTGATCCCTGGTCAGGGAGCTAGGATCCCGCATGCTTTGCAGCCAAAAAACCAAAACGTAAAACAGAAGCAATATCGTGACAAAATCAATAAAGACTTTAAAAATGGTCCACATGAAAAAAAAAAAAAGAGAAAATGCATAGAAATATGCTCTAAAGACAATGAAGAGCTATACACATTACCTATTACTAAGAAGAAACTAAATAGGATATGTGGAAACTAAATGTATAATCTTGTTTCCAGTTGAGCTGAATCTAACCAACCTTGGATAAAAAAACCGTATTATGACAAACAATAATTGACAAAAAAGGAAAACATATAAGAAGCAGATAGCAAGTTTATGTTTTAAAAAAATGCTCAGTAAGATACTCACATTCTGCCAAACTTCCCATAAAAGGTACCCCTATTCCATCTCTGGAGTAACTGAAGAATTGAAGAGGAGAATATTAGCATCAATTACAAATGTGAAAAAACTCATTCATAATCAAAGCAAGCATAATTTTGGTGGACTAACTAGGATTAATTAGATGTAATGATGAACACAGTTTTAATGGTTTTGAGTTACCTGGAGAAATGAATGTAATTAGCGAAAGCTGAACCAGCTTGTAACAGCAATGCAGTTGTCAGGACCTTTAAAACCATGTGCATGGGTCCTCCTTTCTTAATAGCCTGCCACAATGATTGCGCATAAATGCAAGCAATCACAAAGTACACTAGGACGAGGAGGAAGAAGAACTCATGTAACCCTGTGAAGAGAAGAAAGGAACAAGCCAGTTACAGTGTTGGGCTGCTTTCAAACCTTCCCATCAGTGTATTTCCAGAACTTGTTTTTTAACTGAAGTCATAGCATTTACTTTTGTAAAAGAAAAAAAAGGAAGACTGTTGAAACAAATAATTTTCTACTTTAGGGTACAGTCTTAACTATAAGAACGCAGATTAAACTGAAGTCAATCTATAAGAAATCATATTGGTCAGGAAATAAGCCCAAAGACTAACCACAAGATCATAGTTTTGGTCGAAATGGTAAATTAAGACAATGATTTCAGCATTCAGTTAGATATGATTTTTTACCCCCCCAAAGTGGATTTCTTTTATACAATGTTTAAAAATAGATTTAGTCAGTCAATAAGAGTTTTATATACCCTGACAATGATTCTCAAAAAGTGTGAGCCCTGTGCCAGTAGCACCATCAGTAGGGAAGTAGTTAGAAAGGCAGATTCTTGGGACTCAACCTGCATCTACTGAATCAGAGATTCTGGGAGTGGGACCCAGCATTCTGGTTTTAATAAGTCCTTCAGTGATTCTGATACAGCTAAAGCCTAAGAACCAAGCTCTGGGATGTATCATAACCTTAAATTCCCATTTGGACAAAGCGTCAAAGTACCTGTCACGACCAGGCCTCCTTCTGAAGTAAATGGCATTCAGCTCTGTCAAAGAGGATAACCTATGGAGACCATGGGACTCCACTCCACAGGTGACTGAAACTGAAACACCTGACCAAGTGGCTACCAATCCAAAGACTAGTCACTGGCCAGCAGCATCACTTGGTTCTCAAAGATATGAAGCCAGTCATGTTCTCTTGGGACACCAAACCACAAAACATAGAAAGGATGAGGCAATAGAAACTGGAGTTGAAAAGAGTTGATGATGGAGCAGGCCAAAGGAGTCAAACCAGGCCATGATGAAATCAAAATTCTGGGCAAGCAGAAATTTTGAATGAGCAGAGGGAGCTGATTGGTAGAGACAAGAACAGAGCATAGGAATGTGCAGATTTTATATTAAAAATGGTCCCAGCCATTAAGCAGCCTCCAGTTTCTACCAGCAGCTTTTCAGTAGTCTTCACACATCCTCAAGATAAACACCCCTTTTTCGGTGTTACCTGGAATCTTTTGACTGTCTTCATTTTTCAGAAATTTCAGAAAATTTTATAACGAACCAGGGGCCAGCTTTGAGTTTAATGGCTTACATTTACTTGGTTACATCTAAACGTAGTCCCTAATATTAGGGCTTTTATATTCTATCTAAATAACACTGGATATCGTGACAGTGGCTATAGCTGTCTCCATTGAATCTGTGGATGAACGTCTAAACTCCATTCCATTCCAACTGTGACCCCTGAATCTGCTCTGGCTTCCCATGTGGGATAAACTCCAAACAACAGGCAGAGAAGGGAATATTTACATTGTATGGAAAATAATTTTAGAAAAGTAATCCAGAAGATGCAAACAGTAGGAAAAATACTCAATAAACAGTTCAATCTCAATCATGTTTCTGGCGTTGTTAGGAGAAAGAGAGAGCGAGAGAAAGAAGTATTTCAGCCACTGGGTGTCTCTCTTGCTCTACGTACATAAATGTTGATGGTCCACTTCTCTAGTCTAGGTGAGAAAGTATGTTTAGACTTCAGGAAGAGAATATCAAATAACAGAATGGGCATATTTTCTTTAAAAATTCCTGATATAGAGACGTATTCTAGCTTTAGAAATAATGGGACAATAAACCTGGGATTGTTATAGTAATGGAACAAGGCAGAAAATAAGCTAAACATATTATAACTGTGTGTCACTAAAAGTATGCTATCCTGTGTTCTGAATCTGTTTTTACCTTTTCTTCTTAGTATAAAGAATTAAATATGGCATTCTATTTAAATTTTTATTTATTTATAATACTTTACAAAATATTCATTACAAGATAAGGTTTCAGACTCTATTAGCTTAGAAATGCACCATGAAAAGAAAATCCCAGACTATTTATTGAGAACCAGAATAATATAGGAGGAAGGGACTTTTGAAAATAAGACACATGTCACTAGCAAAAAATATTTTAGGATTATTCAAGATTAAATGTCTCTTCCATAAAAAGCTAACACGGTAACCAAAAAATTATTTCATTGAGATAATATATTAAATAACTTGAACTAGGACATTTGTCCTACACTTTGCTCATTGCATTTTGCATAAATTATTCCTACCTTGACCCTGATACTTTAAAGATAAAACTCTGGGTCTGCACTCAAGTGTTCTTTTAAAAAAACCACCTCTAGGGAAAAAAGTCTGTTGTTTTTTTTTTTCTCTTCAATCAACTTTACTTTTGTTCTGCCACCATCCGTCACAGGAAAGTAATCTATGTTCACCTTGAAATTAAAATCTAATTTTAAAACAGGTGGAGGGCTTCCCTGGTGGCGCAGTGGTTGAGAGTCCGCCTGCCGATGCAGGGGACACGGGTTCGCGCCCCGGTCCAGGAAGATCCCACATGCCACGGAGCGGCTGGGCCCGTGAGCCATGGCCGCTGAGCCTGCGCGTCGGGAGCCTGTGCTCCACAACGGGAGAGACCACAGCAGTGAGAGGCCTGCGTATCTCAAAAAAAAAAAAAACAACACACACAAAAAAACAGATGGATACTAGGTATTAAAACTTTCCTATACACAAAAGAAGAAAAACACTCTTAAATGAGCATGCAATAGGTGACAAACACTTATGTTATAAGGGAATGAGCAGATTTTAAGGAAAACTTAACTGGAAGCACTGGTAAAATTCAGTAGGAAGAAAACTTCCAGGACAGGACAGCTTTAAAAAACTTCAGTTCCAGCTAAATGATGGGAGATGGGAGAAAATAGGGTAAGAAAAGGAGAGAGTCAATGGGTCATGGGGCAGCCCCTGGAACACTCTCGCCTACCTGTGATGCTTGCTGTCTCAGAACCCCAATATCCATCCCACCCTCAAGGGTCTCAAGATAAATCCTGATTAGTCTAAAGCAATTAGAGAAATTCCAATATTCCCCTTTCCCAAAGAGGTAACCCTTTACTTCGACATGTTGGTTTACCCTTATCACCTTTCTGATACCTTCACTTACATTTCTCTTATGATGTTAGACAACAAGGTCACGTGTCAAGTTCTGGCCAATGAAATAAGGGAGCTTCTGGGAAAGGTTTCCTTGCTCTTAAAAAAGAGACATTGAATTTTGCAATTGCCTAGATGTACGGCCCAGACTGCTGCAGTTAACTTTGAATATGAGGGAGCTGACAAAGCTGACAGTCAGAGGATAACAGGGTAGGATAATGTTAAATAAACTACCCTGAAGAAGCCTCAGAAATTATTGTTATGGAAGAGAATTAATTTCCTTATTGTCTATACCACTTGCATTAGAGTTTCTTGTTACTTTAAGTTACAGAGCCAAAGGTTAAGATCCAACCCATTATCTTTCAGGATAACGGAGGAGAAAAGGGAACAAGAGAAAATAATAAACATATCTGGAATCTTCAGAACAGTGAGATGGCAGGTGTGGCAGAGCCTGTAATACCATTCCAATGAAAACCAGTGTACTTTAGACAATAATGCTTTAATTCTCAGGATTCTGAGTACTTCTTCTTTTGGTCTCTACCAAAAATCACAAATACAGTTAACAAGGACTCTAATTTTTTAAGAGGTAGTTTTATCTTATTCTACCTTGAAGCATGATATTCCTATGTAGTATTTTGTCAAGTAGCATCAAACTTGCCTTAGTCTACATTAAAAAAAAACCCCCCAAGGGGCTTCCCTGGTGGCGCAGTGGTTGAGAGTCCGCCTGCCGATGCAGGGGACACGGGTTCATGCCCCGGTCCGGGAAGAACCCACATGCCGCGGAGCGACTGGGCCCGTGAGCCATGGCCACTGAGCCTGCGCATCCGGAGCCTGTGCTCTGCAACGGGAGAGGCCACAACAGTGAGAGGCCCGTGTAGCGCGCGCACACACACACACACACACACACACACACACACACACACACACACAAAAAAAAAAAAAAAAAAAAAAAAAAAAAAAAACCCAAAACAAAAAAACCTAAGTCTGTAAAATACAGGACTAACTAAAGTCTCGTAGATATAAAATACATGGTTTGAAAGAAAACAAACTGTAAGATTTAACCAGAGTAGCATGTAACATTAATTGTAGCTTTCTGCACCAGGTTATTCTAATTCAAACCTCTAAGATACATGCTTTAGCAGTCAATTCTCAGTAAAAAGCATAGCAAATCAATTTTCTCTACTTAGGGCAGAAAATTAGTCAAATGAGGAAAAGTTTCTAAAATGAACTAACTGGGAATTATTCCCTGGAAACAAATTCTATACCTGAGGCTACAGAAAAGGAAGAATCCCTCTTAAGGCTCTACGTTGAAACCAACACATTACCAAAACAATGTGGAATATGGACTTTTAGCTAAGTGGTTCTGCACATTAGAATCAACTTCAGAGCTTTGATCAACTACAAGTGCCTGGCTTCCACTCCAAAACCAAGTCTATCTCTCAGTCTCTGGGGGTGGACATCTGTATTTTTTCCAAAGCTCTCCATATGCATACACAGTGACAGGTTGAGAACCACCGATTTAGACTTCAATGTAGAATTAATCATATTTTAAGGCATTTAAATAATAAAATGATATGATCCTTGGAAATTATGCCAGACATCTAGCAATGAATACTTTTGAGTACTTATGGCACTTTTTAATAATCAATCCCTACAGATTAGCCTTGCACAGAATCCCATGCTTAATGAAAATCCATATTATAGTGAAATTTTTTCCCTCATTTAAATACTCTTGGTGACATGACCAAAGTAACTCTCCCCATCCTAGTATAAGAAAGACAGATTTTAGACATACTATAAGTATCAAATCAAAATCAGTCACAGGAGAAGACAGGTCAAAAGGAGTCAGGACTAAGAACTGAGTCAGAATGGTTAGTGGGAACCCTGAAGAAAAAGCTAGCCATAATTCAGGGTGTTGAAAAAAACACTAGAAGATATGGGCAAGGTTCAGGATGAGTCAGGGTGAGGATGACTGACATTCAGTAGTCCAAGCACCACACAGGGCACAAATGTCATTGCTTTATGGCCCACAGTCAAAGTTCAGATATCAAACTGGGAATGAGGAAAGAGTCCAGAAATGAGAACCTAGATAAGGAGGCAAGAAAAAGAATATCAGGATCCAGTGAGTCTCATGGATCCATACAATAAATAAAACAACCTCTTGAGCCTCCACCCTCCTGCCTCAAGGCAGGAGGGGGAAGGGCTACCAGATGTGGACTCCACTAGAGGCAGTAGGGTTTGCATGTACAGTGACTACAGAAGAGCATTACTTCCTGCTGGAGG